TTTAATCGCTTAAGCATACTGTATAGATGAGATGGCCAAAGAAATAACACTACTGAAGGCTGGGATATGGCAATGCAAATATACTGAATGTTGAACAAAACAAAAGTGTTGCATACTCTGATAATGTTTTAAATTATTAATATTATTATCACTTACAAGCCTTCAGTACTATGATGAATCAAGAGGTCACATACTTTTTTTGTCGCTTCTCTTAATATCTCCCTGCTATCAAAGAAGTTATTGAGGCGACCAGTGGAAAAAAAATTGCTCATTTGTAAATGTGTCAGATTATTGATTTCAGAGGTTACAGTCCCCTGAGATTGGAAACACAGCTTCGTCAGGGAGCACATGAGAGCACTGTTGAAAATGTCGCTTCTGGCAAAATTCTCCTACGCTTGGCAATGCTGACAGTCCAGCTCACCTCTGCCACAAGACGCCTAATCAAAATGGCTGAAAACAGCAGAACATGTGTGCAGGAGTGGTGAAGAGGGAAAGATAGGCAGGAAGTGCAGCTTGGTGGCCTGTGAGCATTGTTCGCACTCTCTTTTCATTCACTCGACAAGCTCCATGCCATTGCGCGTGGGTTGCTGCACAGAGCTTCACTTTTTCTGATGATGTAACAGCTACACAGCCTTAATTGGGGTATGATATTTCCTAGTTGTTTTCATTGTCGACAGATTTAGGGATACTCAGGCATGGTTGTAAGAACTTTTCAATATAAGTGGTAAAATAAATGCACAAAATTTGCACCATGAGCAAAAAATGTCAAGTTAACAGATATTTCAATAGATAAGAGTTTGAATTGACAGGGCTGTTTTGTATTTTTTAACATACTACTTCCACACAAGTACACTTATGTGAAAGCATCTGCAAAATGTCAGTACATTGCTACACCAAGGTCCTGTCAAGATTCCAAAAAAAATAAAAAATATGGTATACTTGATATTCCGACCTTTTTTGTAATTTTTATATTATACCCATATGATCGAATAGCGACGCATCATATTTTATTTTCAAATAAAGAATTTTTTGAACCAAGGAAAAATCTAGAAGCATTATCAGGTGACGATGGCCGTTTCACAAAGAGTGCGTTTTCGTAAATTCATGATCATGCTAACAGCGATGTGAGCTACATATCACAAATATTTTTCTGCATAGCACAGATAGAAGTAATGGAGAACACTTGATGTTCTCTAATGCTGGTAAGTTAAGTATTTTTGAAAAGTCTCGAAAAATTCTGTGTTTTTAAAATTTGTTTGTTTTCAGAGTGCGATTTCTTCTTCTGTTAATGTCATAGCTTCTTCAGATTTACAGAGCTGATAGTTCTTTATGTGAATAGTGATTCCCTGCATATACATTTGTGTAGTAATTTTTCATGTAATGAATTTTGTTGTTCAAGACATTAGAAAAAAATGTTGGTCGATTTTATAATTGGGTTGAATAAAAATCCACTCTCAATGTTGCTCAAAATTATTCAAATTGTCTGCAGGGGTTGTGTTATCACATTCTAGAAAAACATGTGGCATGAGTTTCATCAGAACAAACTTACAAATTTTCAAACATTGTGTTTTCAGAGCATGTTCGCTACCACGTAAGTGTCATCTGTTGTGGCAAGAAAATACAATAGCATGCTTTTTTTTCTCTGATTTTGCAGAATAACAGTACTGAGATATTGTCTGCAAGTAAAACGTGTTCTGTAAGAAAAACGTACACTTGAATGAATAGTTCACGACTTCGCTTATGTTTATCACTAGAGACCGAATTTTTAGCAAATGCCTATTTTGTTCCTTGCATTTCTATCATGCCACTGATGTATGAGCATAAGTTAGAGGTTAAGAAGGACATTTATAGTTCTTTTGCAGTATCTATAAATGCCTATTTCAACATAAAAATTATTGTGCCTATATTTGCAATTTTTGAGGCATAAAATGATGTTTTACTTGCTTAAAAGCACCTAGAACTTGCTTTTTAGTGCATAAATATTCGGCATGTAGTTTTCACTCAGTCCAAAGGCAGCCCCTCCTGTCGTGCCCTCCTTTTTTTTGCTTTGCTCGACTAGAACAGAATTTATAATTTGGATGCTAATCATTGGACTTTCTCAATGGTTTTTTATTATATGTCATGCTGTCCCATAATCAAAAAGGTTAGTATAAAATGCGAGGTCACTTCAGGAGAGGAGGCGAGCTTCTAGGAAGCAGTCTTCCAGAGGCTGAGGTTTGCTGGCACAAAATTGTACATTTTCGAACCATATGCCATCAGCAGTATTTAAAATGCGTCCATTACGAAAAATCTCGGTGGCAGTAGTCCTGGCAATGGACAAAGCATGCTTTGTGTAAATGTCACCTAGTTTGCATTGGCAAATGTACAGTGACAGGATGCCTTTCACAGAAGTAATGAGTTTGCACTACGTCCTTTTTTTATTTCTGGAAGCACTTGATCTCGCCAGTAGGTCTACTGATTATATCAGTTTTCTTTGGCTTGCCTTGTAAATGCCGAATCACTTCAATTGCTGACCATACTAAACCACCGTGCATGGCACGTGCTCGCACAACGCATCCTATATAATATACTTACACTAAGCACGCAGCGCGGGCCACTCGATCTCCCACATGATTCGTACATGTATAGTGCACATCCTGTCTAGAGAGCTGGTCGGGTTGCGATGCGCCAAGAAGGATGTATCGTGTCACCTACGCTATCTATGTCTCAGTTATATCGTGCAACCTATACAATGTGCGTTCCAGCATCCTGTGCTGCAGAGTAGAGAAGCCTGGCGGAGCTTGTGTAGCGGTGGTCTCAATTCTACTGCTGTGCTCGCTGGTCAGCACTGTCCCCTTTTGTGGAGTCTTAATTTACAACAGTGTGAGAAGGTAACACTCATCAACCCGGTTTTTCGTTAAGCTTTAGTGCTTTTGTATTAGCAGGTTTACTAAAAAAGAGGGGGGCGCGGGCAAATACATGGACATGAAAAGGTACATGCTGCACGACGCCCAAGTTGGAAAACTTTTATTTTAACGATGGTGAACAAAAAACTAGGGGATAAGAAAAAGCCACCCAAAAGTTCTCAGTTGTGCTCGTGTTCTTGTTGCTTCTTCTTGTCCCTGATTTTTTTGGGCACAATCCTTAAGATGTACTAGACTAAAATACATTTCATTCTAGTGGTCGTTTTTTTTAAATTTTTTTAGAGAACACTTTGAATTGTGGACAATACCTCATTACAGTTACGTACTTTGCAAAACCAGAAAAGAAAAAAGCTGGTTATTGTATTTTCTTGCCACAAGCGACGTCACTCGGTAGTGAACACGTTCTGAAAACACATTTGAAAATTACTAAGTTTGTTCTGATGAAAAATGATGTAACAAGTTTTTCTATAATGTGATAATATAATTCCCTGAGAATAATTTAAATAATTTTGAACAAAATTGGGAGTGTGATTTTTTTATTATTGCTTTGTAAATCGACCAGCAGCTTCTTTTAATGTTTTGAGCAACAAAACTCACTACTCCGAAAATTGCGACACTCATGCAAACGCAGGGAATAGATATTCACATAAGGGACTAACAGCACTGTAAATCTTAACAAGCTATGACATTCACAGAAGCAGAAATCTCACGCCAAAAACAAACAAGTTTAAAAAGCATAGCATTTCTCGAGAGTTTGAAAAAAGTACTTAAGTTACCCAGAATTAGAAAATATCAGTTGAGCTATTCCTTCATTACTTCTATCCTTTCTATGCAGAAGGATATTTGTGATATATAGCTCACATCGCACATTTACAAATTTACAAAAAGGCACTCTTCGTAAAATGACTGTCGCCACCCAGCGATGCTTTTCAATTTTTCCTTAATTAAAATTTTTTTATTTTGAAACAAAATTTGATTTTGTGCTTTTCGGCTGTATTGGCATAATATGCAACATTATTAGTAAAAATGGAGTCATCAAGTATAGCACGTATTTTTTTATTTATCATTGAATCGACCTGTAGCAGCGAGACATCTTGCATGTTACATAAGCCCCAGAGCTTGCCTCTCAACAATTTCAGTGTGCTAGGCAGTTAGAGTTCAAAAAGACTGTGATTTTAGAGTGCTCCTCTGAGCATTCGGAGCAGGTTGAATTGCTGAATAAGTGTTTGCTAACATGCTAACCGACATTCCCTTCACTTTTTCAACCCCCCCCTCTTTTTTTTGTTCAAAAATTTATATTCTTTGTCAAAAAGTAGTATGTAGTAGTCACATTCCACTCTGTTTTTCTCTTGCTTAAAGGAAGTTTGGCGTCACTCAAGTTTCTTGAAACATGTAATGACAAGCACTGAAAACCAAGAGACTAGCACATAATGAAAAATACTCATATGCTTGTAAATAGACCTCTGCAAGTTGAATACAGTTGATTTCAGTTTGTGCTTCTAACTACAGGGTTCAGTTTAATTATAAGAACTATGTGCATTTTTTTGCCCACAAATGTCTGTACACAGTGTGGTATGCTTCTTGGCAACTTCAACTAGCTCTCTCAGCTTAGCTTAATGGCTCTAATCAACACAGTAAGGTTTGAAGTAGCTCATAATTTACCATAGCGCTCAAAAATTATGATGGTTAACCAGGTACTGTATACTGTATCTTTGTACTGTATGGATGGTCATGGAAAGAGCACGTAGTGCCAAAGTAAGATAACCGCTGGTCATTAAGGATCACAGACTGTGTTACAAGAGAAGGCAAGCGAGTAATGGGGAGACTGAAATTTAGGTGGGGAGATCAGATTAGGAAGTTTGCAGGTATAAAGTGGCAGCAGCAAGCACAGGACCAAGTTGACTGGCAGAACATGGAAGAGGCTTTTGTCCTGCAGTGGGCGTAGTCAGGCCGATGATGATGTAGAGTGTACATCACTACTGTGGCGTATTCGATTAAAGTTTCATTTTTTTTCTGTGCAACAATTATGCCAATAATTGTAACTTTCTGTAAATGGGGCGCTATCCCAGTGGCCGTACCTATCATGTTTCTTTTCAGGGATCACAAGACGGTGTATGTGGGTGATGCAAGGGGGCGAGTGTTCACTTGGAGTGTGACTGAGCATCCTGGCCGAGCCATGGCTGATCACTGGGTGCGAGACGAAGGTGGTGACAGCTGCCTGTCCTGCGGGGTGCGGTTCTCTTTCGCAGAAAGGCGTCATCACTGCCGAAACTGTGGCCAGCTCTTTTGCTCCAGGTCAGTGGGCCAGCGAAATGTAATGTCATATACTGAACTCGTACACTTATAGTACTAAGCTGCCCTGATTCCTTCTATCTTTTGGACCCGAATCGGTGTACAACCTCTTATTTCTCGTTATTGTGAATTCAGAATTTCAATATCTATAGCAAACATGGATATGACGTAAATAACAAAAGAAATATAAGTAGCAAAATTTGGTATGACGAAGTGAATCTAAAATGCTCTCATGGATATCGGCACGTGCAAGCAACTTAAATGCCTTTTGTTAATTCAGGAAATAGAATTATGCTAGCCCTGGCGTCTCGACCAGCTGTCATTAATTTGGACAACCCTAGGGATGAAAGGAGTATGGAGTGTTGCAAGCATGTGACAGAACACGGCAGAAGCAGTTCTAGGAGCTGCTGGAAACTGAGTGGCAAATATCTATATCATCACGGTCAGAAGTATGAAGTCCATGTGATCAAGACAGAAACACGGGAATGCTTTGCACTTTTATATTGCTGTTACTGCCATGCATAACCCACTGCCACGTCTTGAAAACTGCGTGGTAACTATTCATTATAACACACCAGCACTGGCATCTTTAGCAGTCATGACTGAAGCAGTTTTGTTTCAATTTGGCGCAAGGTGTGTGAAACATTGCATGCCTCAAATATGGCAGAAACTATCAAAGATGAACTAGAATACTGCGGTGGTGTCAGAGCTGCCAATTTAGTCACACTGGACTTGCGATCTGTTGTCAACCAGCTGAATATTGTAAAATATGATGAGGATGTACTTGCAATATTTGGACAAAAATGGGGGTGTCGCATTTGTCGTGACCATATTGCGAAAGTAGTCACATGGCTCTTGCTGTTGTGCGCATTAGTCAGCCATGAGATGATGGAAAACTTTTTTGCAAAATACTAGAAGCAGATGGTGCAAATTTATTCACTTAGTAAGTACCGTTAAGATACAGGCTGTACAGGCACTGCTTTCTGTTTGTTCAATAGTTTGACATTCAGTTAATTTGGACATTGCTTTCAGTCCTGAAAATTGAAGCCAATGAGGTTTTACACCACTGCACATGCTGAAGATATTTGTCGGGTGCGCCCTTATAATGTAACAAAGTCTTAATAACACAATTGAACATTGTTGTCGACTCCATCCCAGCTGCAGTAACTATTGGAACCAGGTTTATGCATTTGTGAGTGGCATTCTGCATTTTATACTAATATTATAGCCAGACACATAGATTGTGTCCTATATAGAGAGCCCCAAAAGGTGCTTTCACCTAAGCTGTAATTGTATTTGAAATGTAAATGTGATGAAAGCGTTCGCACGTGGGTGTAAAACCATTGATTGATATGTGGGGTTTAACGTCCCAAAACCACCATATGATTATGAGAGACGCCGTAGTGGAGGGCTCCGGAAATTTCGACCACCTGGGGTTCTTTAACGTGCACCCAAATCTGAGTACACGGGCCTACAACATTTCCGCCTCCATCGGAAATGCAGCCACCGCAGCCGGGATTTGAACCCGCGACCTGCGGGTCAGCAGCCGAGTACCTTAGCCACTAGACCACCGCGGCGGGGCAGTGTAAAACCATGGATGAAAGTGTGTCGACACTGGAAGTGTTCCGACTGTAATTCTAGGCTTTGAGATTTACTTACCCAAGATGAGTAAGTTTTGTCAATGAGCTCCTCTTCTACATAGTTACAGTTACTATGCTTTTTCAGTATGTTGCCTGGTAAGGCTATCATGAATGAACGCCAAGTCTCAGAATTGCTTTCCACAAGGCATTGGGCAGCCTCATTAAAAAAAAAGAAATGAAAAGTTTTGGTTCGATTTTTATATATTAGCCATTGTTCAGCTTTATTTGGCCCAATATAAAGTGTTGGTTTAAGGGGGTGAAATGGAAGTAAATGTTGTGTACTAATTTAGCATGGGCTGTCTAATCTGGGCATTTCACTGTCAGACACTTTGCTTGCGTGCAGAAAGCACGTTGGAGTGTACCTTCTCACAAATTTTCAAGAAGTAACATGATTTGCCTTAAATTGTTGAGCTATGCTAAATGAAGTTGAGCTATGCTAAAAAAAAAATAGTGAGGGTTGCCCTCATTGTGTTGTAACAAGCAATGCAAAGCTGTGATTTTCTCCTCATGCTTTTCCTTCTCCATTTGCATTGGCCTACAAATGCAGGTGCAGTCGCTTTGAATCTGAGATCAGCCGCCTGAGGATACTCAAGCCAGTGCGCGTCTGCCAAACCTGCTTCAACTCGCTGAAGCCCCCTGGGGAAACCTAGGGGCGGGACGCAGCCTTTTCTAGTCAGACATATCCCTGGACATTCCATAGCTGCTGTAAAAACTCAGTGAGCTCCTGTTTTTCCCCTGACGGTGTGCTGTATATAGCGTGCATGTAAATATTGTCCTGTGACGAGTGGTTTTTAAGTGTGTACATTAGTGGCGGGCCCATCCCACCATGCCGCCATGTAGCCACGCTTCACAGGTGTCTAAATGAATAAAAAAAAATAGCACCAGTCAGATGACTATAGTTGCTAGGCTTTTTGTCACTACCATGTGTTATAGCAGGTTGTGTACCACCAAGTATATTATATATAAATATATATAAAATCCCAGAGTACTCTAAGAGCTGAGCAATACATTCATCTGCTATTTCTTGACCTTTAGATGCCCAGGTTGTATTTGATTAGTTGGTAGCCTGATATGCGTGGCTATGCTTGTGCTAGGGTCTGGAATAGTGCCTACTCTCTCTGCTATGTGAGTGTTGTCTGTAATGTTTTCACCGCTAAGCATTGCAAGGGAATGCACTCTGAAGCACAGAATTAAAGGCTCCAGTTATGAAATGCTGCAGGTCACAAATCTGTTTGTTAAAAGATTGTTGGTGTGGAATGAACCCCACATTGTCAAGGAAGCAGAGTGTGAAAACTGTGAAATGGAGGGCAAGCACTGTTTCAATATATGACATGGTCCTGCACACAAGCCATTCGTATGTCATTTGGCAACCAGTGCATGGAATGGGTGTCAATTATCAGCATGGCAGCCTCTGAGATGCTTTTTTTTTTTAAGTGAACCTGTTAGTCATAATACAACCCATAGCATACACAAGTTGTTTTTATTAATCTTGTTCTTTAACTGAATGGAAGGAATGCATGGCATGACAGGTCAACCCTGTGATTAAGTTCTTACGTATGTGCCTGTAGGCCATGGATGGGCAAGTTGATTGTTATTAAAATGCAGCTATGTTTTAAACACACTTGTGACCATGTCTTATTCACATCTCAGTGCTGACTGACATTCATCAGGACTATACAAGCTGTTGTAGAAACAAAGGGAACCTGCAACAGCTTCTGAACATGTTATTTAATAAACCTTTTTAGCTGCCAAACAGTGCCATCGTGAACACACGAGCCAAAAGTTATTCCTGTAGAGAGTAGTTTACTCTTGAAAGAAACACCGGGATGGATGCATGGCTCCCGCTCAGCACTGCCACTGGCTGCAACAAGTTAGGTGCAACACAGCTTTCAACAGATTGAAGGCAGCAGTACTATGTGCATAAGATTTCGTAGGGAATGTTGCAACTGCTTGATATCAGCTATTCAGTACATATATCCAGGTTTTATTAATCAGAAACACAGAACGTGTCTTGCACATCGATGTGGTAAACTTTTATATTGTTTAGAGAACGGGCATTTCTTATAAAGTGGAGAAATATTTACAGAAAGTGCAGTCCAGTCACATAATGCATAGAATAAATTACCAATGGCTTTGCTGGAGCAGCAGAATGGGTGCAGAGAGAATTGAAATGCACTTGAAAAAGGCAGCAAATTATTTCGTGGTGCGAATAGAATGTGGAATCGGCAGGCATAGGATGTAGTTAACTGATGCAACGCAGGTTGAACGGAAATTCAGTGGAAGAAGCATTAACACCTTCATGGATACTAATTGGCTGAAAGTGATCAGCCACCATATTGGTGCTTTGCAACCACTGCAAGCAAGGAAATATACTGAGTGACTTTGTGCTCCAAATGAGGTTTCATCGTACAGTATATGTAAAGGCACATAGCAGTTGCTTTCAGTGGCAAAACAGATTGCTTTTCCTGTTTATTGGCCGGCAATGTGATGACGGCTGCGTCTGAAATTCATCATGCACAAGAGTTACAAGGTGTGCATGGTGCGTTAAAGTAGTGACCAGTTGTGTATAACTGACCCGTGGATAATGAGTGGTAGTTACCGGTTACGTATAACTGACGTAGTTGATTGATATTTGGGGGTTTAACTTCCCAAAACCACCATATCATTATGAGAAACGCCGTAGTGAAGGGCTCCAGAAATTTCGACCACCTGGTGTCCTTTAACATGCACCCTATGTATAACTAACCCAATGGAGATGAATTTCTATAGTCTTGTTGACCAAACTTGCTGGCATTTTCATGGTTCACATGGCGTTTCATCTCTCTTTTTCATCTAGAAAACATGATCCAAGAACTACTTCAATTTAAATCGATGGGTAGGTGGCATTCAGGTGATAAAAGGCAGTGTTCAGTTGCAAATGGCAGTGACTGAGGCACAACTTGTTACACCTTTACATTTATTGTAAACAGGAGTGCAATTTGTGACAAAAATTACTTGTTAAAATAAATGTCATTAGAACGAAAGCGCTTCAGTGCTTGCAGTGGTGAAGCTTCTACCAAGGTTTGCACACTGATTGCCTCCTGTAAAGCGTAATCACCGATTCGCTGTCGATACCTTGAGAGGTGGCTTCCACTTGAAGCAACCTCTCAAAGCCAACTATCGTGCATAAGTGCAAAAGTGGTGCCTCTGTTAATTAAAGGGCCGGTGGAGTGATTTTTCTTATTGTTGTAGAAATCACCTCTCCTAATTTACTCAGCCAGACTTGCCCAGACAGGGAGCCACCCGTGAAGCCGATTTTGAGTAGGACCAAGTGAGCCCTAGATGTTCTGAAGCTCAGCGCTAGGGATTAAGCAGGAATTGCATGTGGCTCCAACTGTTTTTAAATCTGTGAGAGAACCATAAATTCTCAGTAGACTGACCTTGCGCTTTTATGATTCACTAATATGGTCTTGTTTCTATAAGTTGCCAAGTTAGACAGTAAATTATAAAGGCACATAATTGTGTAAAGGCCTTTTATCATGAAGAAATAAGATTTTCATTGTGCTGTGCGTGGATCTAGACATGTCTTGCACAGAGTGCACAAACCTGTCTCCCCTGCGATGGGTCATCGTGTTCACACAAGTTTTGAAGCATTACTATGTCACATAGATTTCACTCTTAATCACATAAAAGTTCTTACTGTAACTTTGCAAGTTTTGATTTAGTACATGATATTGTATAATTATGAGGGAATCCTAGAATAGGATTCTGAAGAGTTTAAAAGAGATTAGAGTATCAATTAGAGTGAGCTTAGAGAATAATTTTCATAATGTTGCTCAAAAAGTAATACAATAAAAAACTCGTCTTGAGAACCATAGACAGGAAAGATCTTATATAGTGCCTTTGAATACGTTAATACCACTAGCTTAAAGATGCTTTTGGTTTTGATATCAAGGGGATGGTTTCACAGTGACGTATCAACACAGCCTGGCATAGGTCCAAGGCACATGGGAGCAGCAACTCATGACATACTAGCAGCAGCTCTGTCATCCGCTGCTGTTTACCTGCACCTAGTGCAGGTAAACAGCAATGAATGAATTTTCGTACAGCGACTCAGACAAATTTCAGCTGCGTGCAGTGTGCATAAACCCAGTGAAATGTGTTCACTCATCATTTTAATATTATTCCATTGTGGTGGGGCTGGTTTGCAGATGTTGAGCAATGAAAACTTTAAAATTAAGATATTTTACATGTTTACTGTGTGCAGCGTGTGAAGAGCAATAAACACTGCAAGCCCAGCAAACGGAAAATGCCCTTCATGCAGTGCCTCTACAGCATATTCATACTTCTTTAAATGGGCCTGCTTGAGGATAATATTGTTGAATCTGCTTCAGTGAGTCAAGCAGGGTCCGTGCCTTATGATTGTGAGCCTAACTGAGATAACTTCAAGTGTAAGCGATTTCCTTCATATTGCTGATGCACATGCCCTGGCGCACTACACTGCTACAAATCTGAGGCGTTGCTTTCCCCTTTTTACAGTGAAGCTCTGTAGAACTAGAATTGAAGGAAAGAAATGTAATGGCTCTTTCTTTTTGTTAGACACACTATTAATGAGAACTAGACAATGCTATTCTCTTTAATACTGTATATAACTAGGCCATTCGTAACTCTGCCAACAATTACCTAGTCAGCAACTACCTATTCAAAAGAAAACCCATGCAGGGATGTAACTCCTAGCAAGGACGTGCCACAGAAATTGGACAAACTCCGCTACTCGCCTCTAGTCCACTAAAATAAACAGAATGATGTCAATAATTAAATAAATATATAAGTTATTAGTACACTGCACCTTTGGCCGACATAGATCAAGGTAGAACTGATGAATGAATTGAATATATATCCGCGTGCTTCACAGCTTCTCTAGTCTCCACCTTCAGAGTGGAATGGCCCACAAATTTTTGACAAGGTTTTTACTGCCTTTTGCTGTAGGCACCCCCTGCATGAACCTACACCTCCACATGGTCATTCATTTTAACAGCACAGCTCTTTAAGCGCAGAGAAATACTGTTAGTCGCAAACAAAAATTATCGTCATGAGCCAACACACGCTCCCTTCTTGCCGGATCGTGTGCACCAATTTGTCCGGCATGGGATGCAATAACTCTGATTAGTAAAATAACGAGTACAGAAAGAGAGAAACGCATGGGAAAAACATAGCAAGACAAAGAGAAAAAAATGAAACAGAGGGAATCGGAAGAAATTGAGATATAGAGATATGATAAATACTGAGATAAAAAATAAAGAGATACAAATAAATAGACAGGAAGAAAGAAAAACAAGGAAAGCCACCAAGCTGCCCACTTTCTTCAGACCTGGCACTACTTATGCAAAGCTGCCTTGATTCTTTTTTACTTAATACACATTTCGAAGTTAATTGATGCGTGGCTCATACCATATGCATGATTGCTACGTACACGAGGCACATTCTGGCAGTGTATACAAGTCAGGAACCTTATGCAGCCTTTATTTGAAGCTGCCAAACAAGTTCCCCCCTCGTGGAGATGATCACCAAAAGGATGACTGGAGCACATCCCCCTCCCCTGTAATTGATGCCTCGGTTACAAACATGATTAAATATGTTAATCTCTAGCTAAGACTGGGCAATGCTGTAGATACAAACTTGGCTGGACATTTATCAATACTGGCATCATCAAACAAGGTATCATGCACCTCTTGAGACTCAAGATATGCCTATTGCAGTAACCACAAAAATGCTTAGTCACTCAAAGCTAGCCAATTATTACAGCTAAAGCTTGGCCTTAATAATTACAATTTTTGTTGACCTTCATTTTTTTACTTGGGTCAACCGATAACAAAAACAATCTTTTTATTTCCTAACAAAAAATATACAGCAGTAAGGAGCAAAATCGTGCAGTTTTGAGCATGCAGTAGTGCACGAGACCATTTGATTATGGTGCTGAAAACCATGCCTCATGAAGGATTTAAATTGTTTATACGCTATTTTCCTCCATCATTGTTTCTGCATGCATTTTATTTATAATAAATATGGCTAGATTGGTTAAATACATTTTGTGCCATTTTCCCAAGTTTTAAAAGCAAGTTTTTACACCACCATGGATGCTTTTGTAGCAGTCATTGATTTATGTGGCAAGCACTTTCAGAAAAGGGCATTTTTCTCATGATTACTTTTAAAACATTTTTAACCTTGATGCATACTTTCTTCAAAACTGTCCAACCAATTATGCTGGCATTTTTTTCATTTCAAATGAACATTCCAAACAGTCTGAACTAAAACTTCAATATAAAACAGAGCTATAATAAAAAAAATGATAGACTAATGCAAAGGTCTTAATTACAGTATACTACAGTGAGGGCAACATTTTTTTCTTGTGAGATGTAGAAACCCATTTTTCTAGCCAGGGAAAAAGTACCAAACCAAGACCACAAGCATTCTTATTCAACGTTCTTAAGTTTATAATGAAACATGAAACAGCTGTTGAGATACAGAGCTGAAACCAAGACAACCCATTTACCCAACCATACTCCCATAAAAATGAATACCAGGATTTGAATAAACCACTTGCTTAAAACTGCCACCTGTAAAGACTCAGTTTTTCAGCTTTTATGTAAGGCAAGCACCAGCCTGCATAATCCTCATGATGAAACAGCATGATGCACAACATTAGCATATTTTTTAAATACAAGCAGGGTAAAGCAAAACTAAATTAATGGTCAGATTTTGTTCAAGGAGTATTCATACAATCCAACTAAGTTGGGAAACGCTAGACAATAACATTTCTCCATTTCTTTTTTTTGTCTAGGGTGAATGCTTTAATATGATTGATGTTGACCACTACTCGACAGTACTGTTTGTAGGCACACCAGTTGCTTCGTGCCATCGTACAAATAAAACTTTATTGCGACGATCTCCGTGCGCACTCGCGACAGACGGGAATCTGGGTCGTCCTGCACCTGTTGTTTCTCCTCCTCTTCCAACATGTCACCAGAGATCCTCCTCGCCCCGTTATGCAGATAAGTGGAATGTTTCATTTGAGAAAACATGTGGCAAACACATTTGCACGCTCACTACTCTCCTCTTTCAGCTTTGCCATTTCGTCATTTCTATATTGCTCCTAAGCAAACTCCATTTCCAGCACACCTGAAAGCACCACTGCCCCAATTATGTTTACCGATTGTCAGTTGTACATTGTTGAAACTATTATCAACCAAAATTGCTGAAAAATGTACTTCTAACATTGGCTACAGCCCAAAATTTATTACATCTTCCTCCAGGCCCCCCACCCAATTTTCACTGCCAGAAAATCTATGCAACGATGAGACATGCCTGCCCGCTTCAAATCACTTGTCCATGAGGGCATACACAGAATTACACATCGAAAAAATTCTAGTGCTTTGATGATGTTGCACAGACGAACAAGTTTGTTTCTGCACCTCCCGACAAAACTCTTGGCATGCAATTGACAGAAAAGGTGAATAAACAATTACAAAATACCACAAGTTGATTGATTGATATGTGGGGTTTAACGTCCCAAAACCACCATATGATTATGAGAGACGCCGTAGTGGAGGGCACCGGAAATTTCGACCACCTGGGGTTCTTTAACGTGCACCCAAATCTGGGCACACGGGCCTACAACATTTCCGCCTCCACCGGAAATGCAGCCACCGCAGCCGGGATTCGAACCCGCGACCTGCGGGTCAGCAGCAGAGTACCTTAGCCACCAGACCACCGCGGCGGGGCTGTGTGTGTGTGTGTGTGTGCGTGTGTTCCACATACCACAAGTTCTGGAGCACATCTATCAGAACATTGCTGCCCAGTTTTTCAATGTATCACATAGAAGTCAACAGCCCAGACCAACATGTCAGCGAAAGCTTACTGTGCCAAAAGTTCATTGTTGCCAACTGTCAGATTTATCTCAGAGTGTGAGAAAAATTGAATAAACTGAGTCATAACTGAACCTACAAGTTTTTTTCTGATTCAACACCACTTTAAACGGGAAATCCCACTACACCTATTGATAACTTTTCACGTTTCTTATCATTTCATTTTCTTGAATAGAAAGAATACAGTTAAAACAAGAGTGTCCCAATGTTTACCCGCATGTTCACAGCAACAAAGAAGAGAGTGTAGCCACAGTCTCAACAAAATTTATTTGAAACTAATAGCTTATAAGCGAGCAGGAGAACGTTCCAAGATATTTATTACGTTGTCCTGCTAGTACCTTTAGGCATCTTTTCGTTTGACAATTAAAGGGCCAACATTGTCGCCACATTCTTCATTGTGTTTGTTGTGTGATCCATCGCAATAGGGGAACTGAAAAAAAAATATACAAAAATAAATTGGCATTGAACAAACATGCACAAATTTATTACAGCTGAAATTTTTTTACCAGCCACACATTATGCTACAGTTAAAGATAACCGAGATAGACAATTTTGCTATGGCAATAAATTTTATCACACAAATGTGTAAAGAAGAGATAGTTAATAAAGCACAAGGGAAGAAGAGCAGCAAGGAATTTATTTTTTAAGACTGGTGAATGACATAGTAACAGCAATTTGAGGCAAATCAGTATAAGTGCTCGATAATGTCCTGCACAAGTGTTCACTTGTGCAGAACATTTGTTAAAACAATGGCTCAAAAGAACAGGCAGCAACCAGCTTTGCTTTGAAGTTAGCTTGAACAATTTAGCATAGTAATAGAATGTAAAGTGCAAATGATAGTATAAATTTGATGCACAACTGGCCATATCATGTAGTCTGTTTGTCACACTTCAGAATGAATCACAATTCTCACATATGTCAAATATGGGGCATTCTGATATGTTTGTATATACATTTGCCAAACCAACGTGCAACAGTAAAAACAAGTTTTAAAGCTCCTAGACCCTTTGGTGATCTGTAGAACATTTGCCTTACTGAAATCACAGCCAAATAAGCGAATTCATACTACACAGTAAGAGGACATTTGAGTGCCAAGGTTCTGGCAAGCACATCACGAAGCGAGTGATTTCATTTAACTGAAGTGCACACGTTAGCTGGGAGCTGTGTCAAGGGCATACCTTTTTGGACTTCCAGCAACGGCAGAAGACTGCTTTATTTCCAATGTCTTCAATGTCAACAGAATTCACAATTTTGGGGTTAGTCATGTCGATCTGCAAATTAACACGTCCCTTTGCCTTGCTATATGACCTGTAGGCGAGGAAGGCAAAGCCTAATGCAGCTGCTGTGCCAAGCCACGGCAGATAGGGGAGGACAGTTTCCTTAGTGCCTGAAAGAAAGAAAAAAGGCACCTTTATTAGCAAGCAAGCTTTATGCGGCAGGGAAAAAAAAAGAAAAGCCACTTTTACTGCCAGATGAGGCTTGATAAACCAGGAGCGACGCAAGCCAAGCAAGGGAGGCTACACAGCCGAAAAGTTGCTACGCCAGTTTGTCGTGAACTTTTACAGTGTCTGCTCAAACACAATTAACTTCCTAATCAACAGAAGAGCCAACGAATGAACATAATACATTTTGTGAATATTTGCAGGGTCACAACAGCTGTGATGCAAAAACGATGTCGCGTTCATGGCTTAGTCATCCGTGATTACGGTGGAACTTTCTTTTCGTTGAAATTTTACCTTGCTTTCTACTTAAGTTTGTGACCTCTCTCTACAAAATTAATAGTTTTTAATCTTCACAAGTATCGTGCTTGCTGGTGACTCAGTAACATTAGGGGTATATGAACATCAGTGGCATCTATTTATTACAAGTTGTTTAAGCTCGCCAAGACATTGTCCTGTGGCCCAAGAAATACCATCTGGCGTAACCATCTTGAGCATCGGCTATCTTGTTTCCTCTTACCTTCCACTGTGGCTACAATTAATTTTCACTTCATTGAAAAGGTGGGCGGCTCACATGACAACCAAAATATTATTGAGAACTAACAGACAACATTACCAAGGAAAGTATTCAAAATTTCAAAAATAGTGTCTTGTCCAAGAAACAAAAAGATGTTGGGGCTAAAGGCATATTGCCTGACAGAGGACCCAACACCCTTGTACACCAATCGTACAGCACAGATACTTGCACAATATACAACTTCGATTAAAAGAAAAAAGCACACAAACAAAAAACAGCATTCTCTGCATCTAGACCATGAGCAAAAGATGCAATAAAAAAAATGGATCGCGTAAAAACTTTCATGTTACATTGAATCTGGCTTTAACTATACAAAGCTGGTATATACTTGACATAATTAATAATCACTCAGAAAAAAAATATTAGTCTAGGACATTAGAGACATGTGATATGCATAATATTTTCGTAGTTAGCAAAACAATTTAGTAAAAATTTCCATCGCTGGCCTATTACAATCGCTTGCATCAGTATTTTTTTATGATCCATCAAACCATATGTTCTACTGAATTAGCACATTTTTAACTTGCACTTTGAAGGACTTTCCTATACAATAAAAATTAAGCAAATGTTCTAATTTGTCTAATATGTAGGTTGTTTGATACGTTAGTTTATCATAATTCGTTCGTTGTGGATGGCGTAAGCTTCGGTGGATGGGATAACTGTGTTGTCTAGCTCCTTCATTGTGCTCGTACAATTTTTTGCTGTATATGATTTGTAACACTCATGTTGTAGACTTGATCAGCACGAAGCATATTATATCTTTCAAATAGAGGTGCTGTCTTAAAGTTTGCATGATTTCCTTTGCGTTTAGAGTACAGGAGTTGTTATTAGCAGTAATTTGCCACATTACAAGTTATTAATGACATTAATAAAAGTCACAAACTCAGCAAAATAGTAATAAACATACACTATGTTTTACCCTAGACATGGTTTATGCAGACATGCATTTTAAATCACACAATCAAACTGGTCGCACAAAAAAACTCGTGCACTATGAAATAAATGTTGCGCTTATACTTGGCTGCTGACCCGCAGGACGTGGGATCGATTCCCGGCTGTGGCAGTTGCATTTTCAGTGGAGGCGAAAAGGCCCGTGTGCTCAGATTTCAGTGCATGTAAAAGAACCCCAGGTGGTCGAAATTTCAGGAGCCCTCCACTACGGCGTCTCTCATAATAATATGGTGGTTTTGGGATGTTAAACCCCACATATCAATCAATAAACATATTGTTTGGGTCTTTAATGAGAAACAAGTCAATTAGATGTATGTTCTCATTAATATTGTGCCTAATAAAGAAAAATGAGCTTTTTAATTTTCCACTTCTTTCCTTCAACTGAAAATAAGGAAGGTTCAATTTCAGGACTTTTGCATTCCACAAACATTTGAGATTGATATCCCTAATGACTGAGGGATTGGTACATATGAAAGTCTCTCTTCAATGCCTTGCTCCATAAACTCAGCAGTTGCCAAAATGAAGTGGCCACAAAAAATTCGCAATTAAACAGCTGACTAACGAGTTCAGCAAGCAGACAATGCGATGCAGTCCTTCGTTTCTGCAAGCATATAAAACTAGAATGACACGGCATGCTGATTATACAATTAAGTTTTCAGAAACACAAGCCATACTTCCACCTTTTCGTTTGTGAACGTCATTTCTTTCTCACGTCGAGCAGCAAAAATTTGATATGAACTAGCCCATAGGGGAGGGAATTCGCTTCAACAAGGCAGAGCTTGACTACAGATATGACCTTTCGCCATTTACAGACCAAAATATTTTGGTGAAGTCCTCGTATGGCGAGATTTCGAAAAATGAATTGTTACGATCATTTGATTGAGATGTGGGGATTAACGTCCCAAAACCACCATACGATTATCAGAGACGCTGTATATAGATAGTGCAGGGCTCCGGAAACTTCGACCACCTGGGGTTCTTGCACCCAAATCTGAGCACACAGGCCTACAGCATTTTCCGCAGCAGAGTACCTTAGCCGCTAGACCATCGCGGCGGGACAATGAATCGTAACGAAAGGAGTCCCCGAGCCGAAAGCAAAAATTTGCAGGCAACTTAAATTAACATTTTTCGTGAACAAGGTCGGCGTAACCTTACCTAACTAATAAACATAAACAATACGTTTTATGACGTCTTGCCCAATCGCGCACCCCAATCATAATATGCGTGCCGACCAAAAAAGGAAAATCCGACGCAATCCCGTATATGGCCGCGCTGCTATTAAACACGCCGCGGGCAAGGAACAAATTACCAAAACGAGCACGCAGGAATAGATGCTCACTAGCTTAGCGCTTCAGAACAGCGCTGGAAGTCATGCGTAGGCGAATTTTCAGTTTCGGTTTACGCAAATACATCTAGCGTGAGTAGTTCCGAAACGAAACAAGCTGGTCAGCCACTAGTTATGAGAGTCTGGCGCGGCCTACTTACAGGCTAGCTCGCACGTATTCAATTCAGGCCACAGCCAGCCTGTCTACGGTGTTGAAATCCGAGGTCACAAACGTCCTCGCAGGATGCTTAAATAAGCTTTCGAAGACCTGATCCTGGGTAGCGCCTACATATCGGCATGGACTTTCGTCCAGCGAACTTTTCGCTTCCGCGATGTTCTTTCCATGTCCACAGGCGAAGAATTACGGGCCCTATTTAGAAGCTTTAAGGGGGCAATTAGGCGCAATTAGGCGCAAATACGCAAGCAAGGCGATCGCACCATGTATACTAAATGGTGCCTATAAACGGTACCAACATTATAACACTTTTTTTTTTCTTTAACCTAGGCACAGTTTACGTAGAGACACATTTTAATTCACGCAATTTAACTGCGGTAGCGCAAGAAAACACGCTACATGTATGCACAATGAAATGAACGTTGCGTTCATGTCGTTAACGAGCAACAAAAGAGAGAGAAATAACTTTATTGGGTTGAAAAAGAAGGGGTTTAGTAGCTAGATGGGTGCTAACAAGATAACGCAGGTGCAGGCTTGGCCGACATGCAGAGTTCAGTAGACAAAATTGAGCTTACTCATTTCGCTTCAGGGCGCTACCTTCAAGAGCAAGTGGAATGATAGACGATCTATAAGGCGATCCCACTACAGCATGCTCCACCACGACGAAGCCCAATACACCAACTCCACGAGCCTGCAGCCACGGAGTTCGCACGATCGCACGGTTGGGCAACAACCTCGCGAATGAAGACAACTGCACAACTCGTGCCGCTCCTGCCCGTGCAAGTAAAGGGAAAAGATAACGACACATTAAATACTTTCTTTAAATTTTATAAACACTCAGTTTGTATTATAAAAAAATGTATATGAATAGTGACAGTTCTTCTATTTGTCGAATGAGTTTTCTTAAAAAATTGGTATATATATAAAAAAAAAAAGAAGATCACTTGTACTAGCACGCGCAAGTCCACCGCTGCGCAGGGCGACAATTGTTTAGCCGTCGAGTCCAGGGGGTAGGCTTACTCGTCATGGCTTTGAAGAGGATTAACAAGGTAATGCTTCATGTTTCCCAGGTTTTTCGAAGCCTGGTTCTTTGCTTGGTGGTTGAGCGACCTCGTATCGAGCAAGTGCCATGAATATGCTTGCAGGATTGAGTTGGGGAACACTGCCATGTCAAGGTGCTTATAGGCCTACCACCGCACCGGTGCGAGTGAATGGAAGCCCATCTTTGCTTTTGCTGCCTTTGGGTCGTAGCCTTTATTTGCGTTTAACTGCGTGCAACTACTATGCGTTTCGGCGTCATCGATTTTTTTTCGCAATTTTGTGCGTCGCGATAAAACGTGTCGATAGTGCATTCCTCGTGTTACGGCATTTTCCCAGCACCGTATCAATGGTGTTTCGAAAGTTATGTTCCTCACCGGCTCGTTCCTAAAACGAACATTCGTCCTGATACGCCGTTGAAACTGTTCTCTTGCGGCAACTTGAGCGCTTCAACTCATTTAGGGCAATCGGCGCAGGTGTTGCCCTCGTATTGCGGTGGACGAATGCGATAAGCGAATGTGAGGCCGTAAATCTCCAGTTCTTCGGGCCTTTAAAAGAGCCATTTTTGATGGTTGCAGAGAAGTGTTTTGCTACGCGCCATACATTCTTTCGCTTTCTTCCTAAATTCGGCTCTCCGAAACCAGGCGAACGTTCAGCGATTATCGCAAACTGCGGCGTTCGCACGAAGGCTTGCTGCGAACCGCCTCCACGTTTTAATCAAAATCTGAATGAAGATAACCCTTAAATTCACTCAATATGCATGTAATGCTACGTATACGTTCTTCTGCGCATCGCAGCTTTTGAAGGTGTGAGTCACTCCTCGCAATGGAAATGACGACAGCGGACGTCGCCATCAAATGCGTTCTGCCGTTCGAATCTTGGCGCGGATGTTCCTCGCTTGTTTCCGGCCGCAAATAAATTTCCTTTCATTGAGCAGTATCGTGACTGGGTAAAACACTCTCGCCGAGAATCTTTGCTAATTCACGCCTGTGTCATTCGTTTAGTGGCACTGACCTTCAAGAATGCGCGACGGGCGTTTGTTCAAACCTGTTAGACACCGGCAAGGAAGCCACCACCCCCTCCCCACGCTTAATCTTTTTTTTTTAGAGTTAACCGAACGACGCGCAGGATCCCAGCTATTTCGTAGATTGAATTCTCGTCACCCTCGCTCATTGACGACATACCGTCCGTATGGTGAAACTGATACCATTGAGAATTTAATCCCTCTATTCTGGCTGCTTCACCAGCGTTGTCTTCCTAGGTCATTTAACGTTATGCAACATTGCTACATGCTTTTTTTTTTTTTTTCGATTTCTAGGAGTTGCAGGACTTGGGACGCGATCCTCCTGCCCAATGCTCAGCGGGCCCTGTAGGAGATGATTGTGAGAACTTTTTTTTTGGAATTCGAATTCACAGTATGATTGCATGCACACATATTTGAGCTGTTTTTTATTCTGACCAATCAATTGTGCATTTATGCTGTGCAGAAAGTAGTAGCTGCACTGTCACTTTCTGCACATGCCCATGCCACATGGAATAGGAAGATTACATTACCTTATACATCAGTGAATGTACTTAAGGTGGTAGCCATGCCATCTGCTTAATTTGTCAGCATCTCCAAGCATGAAGCAAACTGCTTGCTTAAGGGTCTACAAGTTAACTTTAGTTGTAGGGGTCCTTTTTTGCTGCAGTAACTAATTGGTCATAAGTGTCACGGTATAATTGTGTAGCATTTAGACACCATTGCATTTTGCTCACGAGTAATTCTGTAATGTTCTCATTTGGATTAAAAGCAATGCTGTTACTTTCCTAGTTGTTTCATAAACCTCAGTCAAACTTTGTTGATGAGTTATGCCTTGACAGTACGGCACAATGTAAAAGAGAATTTCATTTAAATAGTATGGGAAGCGTGTTGGCTTGTAAGCAGAGCCATTGTATGCACTTTTGTTCCGAAAGCAGTTATATGGACACTCTCGGCTGGATTTTGCTTCCGGCGTCATTCACTGTATATGTGTGTGTGTCTGTGCGTGTATATATACACAGACACAGACGCACAGAAAGAAAATTAGTCCAGAAAACCAGAAAAGGACTTTGGCGCCTGGAATCGAATGCCTGACCTCTTGCTTGTAAGTGTGAGGCATTAGCCACTGAGCCATAAAGGGGCACCTCCAAGGTTGAAACGGCAAGCTATTTATATCTACCAACTTACCTTTCCTATGCCCATCTTGGGGGAGCTATCGCGTTTTCAGCAGTACCAGCAAAATGGTGCAATGAATGCGCATCGCCTTAGAAAAGGGACTTTAGCGTCGCCTGATCGTCGCGGTGAGGTGGACGCTCATGCGTGCGCGATTATCTCGTGGTGGGGAGAATCGTATGCCTTGGACTTTCACCGAAATGATTGTTGTAGTTACCGGGCGCATAACGTTCGCTACACAGTCTCCAGTTGCGAAAAGGGCACGCTTTTCAGACACAGCGAAGTAATAAAGGAGACGTGAGCAATGGGGGGCACATTTCAATCTGCCATTCTTAGCGTGACATTCCAATTTGTTGTTATCGAATTCATTGCTTCGCCTTTACTGCAAAGCAGCGACTTTGTTTTTTTTTTTATGTTCTGATAATACTGCCATTTAAACAGTGCCCCCATGTTGCCCATGTGATGTTTGTAGTTAGATTATGTGTACGTAAAATCATCTTCCTAAGCTGGAACCAACTTCTAGATAATCAATCTGTCATTTTCCTGAGTTCTCCAAATTACAAGCTTGGAAAGGTAACTGCATAAGTAACTCGCATGAATGTCTCACTGACATTTGCACAAGTTTGTGGGTTTAACTGCAACCACTTTGTATTGGAATAGTTTGTGTAAGAACATTGGTAACTCACGAGGTCAGAATCTAGTAGAACCTCCACTGCTATCAGCCTTTTAGCCTAGTTGTATACTTGATATACAACTAGGCTAAAACTAGGACAGGCCACCATTGAAACCTGAACTTGGCAACGTTTAACGCTGGAACCTTATCTAGTGAGGGAAGTCTAGCTGTACTATTCGAGGAGCTAGAGGGTGTTAAATGGGATATAATAGGCCTCAGTGAGGTTAGGACAGATGAGGCATATACGGTGCTACAGAATGGGCATGTCCTTTGCTATCAGGGCTTGGCTGACAGAAGAGAACTGGGAGTGGGGTTCCTAATTCACAGAAACATAGCTGGCAACATAGAGAAATACTATAGCATTAATGAGAGGGTGGTATGTATCGTAATTGAACTGAATAAGAGGTACAATTGATTTGATTTGTGGGGTTTAACGTCCCAAAACCACCATATGATTATGAGAGACGCCGTAGTGGAGGGCTCCGGAAATTTTGACCACCTGGGGTTCTTTAACGTGCACCCAAATCTGAGCACACGGGCCTCAACATTTCCGCCTCCATCGGAAATGCAGCCGCCGCAGCCGGGATTTGAACCCGCGACCTGCGGGTCAGCAGCCGAGTACCTTAGCCACTAGACCACCGCGGCGGGGCAATAAGAGGTACAAGATGAAGGTGGTACAGGCTTACGCGCCTACATCCAACTATGATGACGCTTCAGTTGAAAGCTTCTATGAAGATGTGGAATCGGCAATGAGTAAGGTAAAAACGCAGTATACTATACTGAGGGAAGAAGCAGGCTAGAGACCAGGCAGTAGGAGATTATGGTATCGGTACTAGGAATGCCAGAGGAGAGCTACTAGTAGAATTCACAGAACGCAATAATTTACGGTTCTTGAATACTTTCTACCAAAAACGAGAAAACCGCAAGTGGACATGGAGGAGCCCTAATGGCGAAAATAAGAACGAAATAGACTTTATAATGAGTGCACACCCAGGCATCATACTGGATGTGGAAGTGGTTGGCAAGGTACAATGCAGTGACCATAAAATGGTACGGTCTCGAATTCGCCTAGACTTCAAGAAGAAACGACAGAAACTGATACGCAAGAAGCCAATCAATGAGCTAGCACTGAGAGGGAAAGTACGGGAATTCAGTCTCTCTTCAGAACAGGCACTCGGCTATTAGTGAGGAAACCAACCTTAGCGTAGATACAATGAATGATAATCTGATGAGTATCATTACGGAGTGTGCAGTGGAAGTTGGAGGCAGGGTAGTTAGACAGGACACTGGCAAGCTTTCCCAGGAAACGAAGAACCTAATTAAGAAGCGTCAAAGCATGAAAGTGTCAAGTACAACAGACAAAATAGAACTGGCAGAGCTTTCGAAGTTGATTATTTGCGTAAGGTATTCGATGTAAGAAGGTATAACATGGAGAGAATGGAACACGCTCTGAAAAACGGAGGAAGCGTCAAAGCAGTGAAGAGGAAACTTGGGATAGGCGAAAAGCGGATGTATGCGCTAAGGGACAAAGAAGGCAAAATAACTACCAATATGGATAGTTGAAATAGTGGAGGAGTTTTACAGAGATCTGTACACTAGCCGGGACAACCATGACCTTAATACTGCAAGAACTAGTAGTAACCCAGATGACACCCCACCAGTAATGATAAAAGTCGGAAAAGCTTCGGAGAGCATGCAAACAGGCAAAGCTGCTGGTGAGGATAAGGTAACGTCAGATCTGCAGAAAGATGGAGGACAGATTGTGTTAGAAAAACTAGCCACCCTGTTTACGAGGTATCTCCTGACTGGAAGAGTACCATAGTCTTGGAAGAATGCTAACATAATATTAATACATAAGAAAGGAGA